ATTAAATATTATTAAAATAATAAATGAATGTGATGAATGACAGGAAGAGGTGTAGCCAGTGGTAGAAACTGAGAAGTGGAGGGCTAGGAGGAGAACCAGCAGCAGCAAAGATTGCAGAGGTTTTCAAGGAAGGTTGGAAGGTATGATGGGCAATGTTAAATGATGCAGGAAGACCAGGTAGAATGAAAAACTAAGACAAAGCTATTGAAATAACAAATAGTAGGATTTCATTAGTAACCTTTAATAGAGCAATTTTAATGTTGGGGAGGGAATGAGGATTAGTTAAGTTCACATATCAAAATTTGTTAGAGAAACTATGGTGAATATAGCAGCCCACGTTCCACACTTGAATAAGAAGCTCTAAAGTAGGGTTTGGACATCTGGATGGTTCAGAAGCTTCACAGGTGATTTTAATATGCATCTGGGACTGAGAACTGTTGGGTCAAGGAGTGAATGATCATGAAATAGAGTGAGCAAGAAGGGTATACATTTGGGAGCTTTTTGTGCTCTTCCACAAACCGCTGGAGAGGCTTCAGAACACTGCTGTGGTATTTTTCGTTCCTTGAAAACACAAAGTTCCTTGTGTTCCTTTTTGGAGTGGGGCTTCGAAGTGGATGAAAAGACAGTTAAGAGGGTTTTTTTTGCCATGACATTTTTTTTTTTTTTTAAAGATTTTTTATTTATTTATTTGAGACAGAGAGAATGAGAGACAGCATGAGAGGGAGGAGGGTCAGAGGGAGAAGCAGACTCCCTGCCGAGCAGGGAGCCCGATGCGGGACTCGATCCCGGGACTCCAGGATCATGACCTGAGCCGAAGGCAGTCGCTTAACCAACTGAGCCACCCAGGCGCCCCTTTTGCCATGACATTTTAAAGAGCACTGAGAACCATCTTGTGAAATATTGTTTGTGTGTATAAATCACCTTTTGTTGAAACTTTCACTGTGTGGATAATACTATACTATTTATCTGTCCCAGTTTCCCCTTATAAAATCAGTAGGCACATAGTGGATGATAAATGATTGTCTAGGAAATGAATACATAAATGTGAAGTAAGATAGGATAATTTTTATAAAGTAGAATGCTGAGTAAATCCATTGATATAAGTTTCTCACCTCAGTTTTATCTCTGCTATTGTATAGAATTAAGAAGATCATATAAATCCTATATGATCCTATGTTATGGTTCTTATATTATGGGCCCTATATCATGGTTCTTTATGTAGGCAAAAGCAATTTTATAAATAATTTTTTTAGTTCTGTATGTAACACTGCATATGTTCACATTTCAAGCCAATGTCAGAAGCAAAACTTGTCAAGTTATTCCTTTTTACAAAAATAGTTAATTTTTAAATATGATATTCTCTCAATTTAAAAAAATCATTTTGGAAAACTGGATAACTGTAAGTCCAGGAACCTGAAACAAAAAAAAAATAAATAAAAGGATCTGCATAAGATAGATCCTTTCCAAACCTTTATTACCTTCATAAACGCATGCACATGCACACACACAAAACATCAGCCTTTTTAAGACCCTTTTTCCTTTACATTGCTATAAAGTTAATTTTTTCCCATGATTTTGGTATATCGTGTGTCTGTTCAAGAAAAGTTTTTTATATCAGCTGTTCTGTTTACCACCAGCCAGTAAGGGCAGAGCATACCTTTTACCCTTTGAGTCCCTAAAGGTATGATACCTACCACTATTATCGGTCTTTATTTGAAACACATTGTTTACACTTTTGAACTTTCAGACAAATTCACTTGTTAGATTCTTTACTACTACAATTTGTGTTCTTTGTAAGGAGATACCCTGAATACACTTTTCTTTTTCATTTAAAGTAGGGATCCAACTGTGGAGGAGCAGACTAAGGAAGAAATCAAGAATAAGGTAGAAAAATCTACTGACCAACTGGTAAGAGAAGAGTTAATTTTCATTAATTGTTAATTAATTAGTAATGAGTAATTATATATGCAATGTAATTCTAAATCTAGTCAGTTTATTTATCTGTTAAGAATTTGGAGGTGACTCTCCTTCATAAGTAAAATTATGGTCATAATTAAATCTCTCTGATAATTGATAATTCTGTTATTATAAGCACGAATTCTCATTTTAAGTTAAAACTAGTAGGTGATTGAATTGACTTGCCCAGAAACATCACAATAATCAATTTTAGGAAATCCCTTACTTGTCTTTTAAAAGCAAAATCCAAACAAAATGAGAACTATGCCCATACCAAGAAAACACACACACAGAATTTTATTTAGTAAATTTCAGAGTTGTTTTGAAATTCTCTTTCCTGTTTTTATCATCTTTACTGTTAGAAATTCCAGTTCAAAATGAAAGATAATAAAGTATGCATTAATATAAGGTTTATATTGCCAGTGACAGTATATTTTATGGTAGCTTAAAAAATATGTATATATACACACATATATGAATATCACATGTGCTTATATTTAATGAAGGATGGATGAAGAGCTATTTGGATTTTTTTAGTGCAATTTTAACCTTACACATAGTTTTATGTGATTATTGGTGTTCACTGAAATAAATTTTATAAAAGTTATCTAGTAACGAGAAAATACATAAACATAAAATAGTCATATTCACCTGCATGAGGTTATCACTGTAAAAAATGTTGCAGAGAAAATACAATATATGCAGATGTACATAGGGATGTACACTTGAGCCAGGGAGGATTAGGTCCAGAAAATACATTTCTAAATATAGAATTGGAAATACAGAAGTCAAAGGAGGTGAAAACTTTGACCTGAATTTGGTTTAGAGGCTAAATTAATTTTGCGAAATGGATTGAGCATCAAATATTTTGATAACTGGCTTAAAAAATTGTACTTAGACAATTTATGACCACTAACTTAAAAAATTGTATTTATAATAAGATGAAAATATTTAATAAGCATGAAGTTTATGGTATATCCTACTAAAAATTTTTATTCATGCCATAATCTTGCTTGTGTATCAGTTTGGTAATTAACATTAGGATTTTGTGGTGACTTTTGACTGCAGAACTGACTGTTAGTTTGAAATGTATGCACTACTGACAGTGGTCATTCTTTTGAAGGGTTTGTCTAGTTACATTGTGGAAGCTTTTTAGTTTTTTGTAAACTTTCTGAAAAATTTCAAACCTACAGCAAAGTTCAAGAATAATAAAATGAATACTTATATACCCTTTGCTGAGATTTAGCAAACTATTAACACTTTCCTACATTTTGGATATAATTTTCATATAATGAAATATAATGTAAGGTTATTTGTTGGGTATTGATGGGGATGGAGGAATCTTAATTTAAGACTCAAACCCAGAAGAGGAGAGTAGGCAGATAGTCCTACTTTGGACTTTATTGATTCCTAGTCACTTTCCTGGGTAATTGCGGTCCGTTAGACCTGACTAATGGTCAAAGAGTCACCCCCTCCCTGCCCCGAGGGCATTTTCAGTGACTCAAGCTTTACATGGCCTCCATAATAAAAAGCTGTCTTTTCTGATTTTCAGAGGTCAGCATCACCTTATTCATATTCCCAAAGTTTAAACAGGGTATAGGAACTGTGGTATCTTGTTAAGGTTTGAAGGAAGTCCATCATCCATGTGTTCCAGGTGCTCTCCATTGCCCACCCATTCCTCACAACTAATGTTAATAGACAATCCAGCAGGACTTGACTATATAGCTATTGATTAGCCATTAATGATGGCTTATTAAGTCCGTAAGAATGAGTTCCTGTAGACCCAAGATTAGTATGACTTAGCTCTGACTGAATTAAGAGTCATTCTGTTTTACTACTTTGTTTATAATTTAAACTATTATAGTTCTATTTATTTTCAGTATGCTGTGTGTTTAGTAACTAAAGCATCAGTCACGTATGTAAAAAGTACTCTTAGATCTAGCTTTCATATTATTATGTAGACTAATCTATGTAATATTTTAAACTTAGCATTTTTTATGCCTTAAGTGGATCAATGCATTCTGTGTATTTCTCAAGGGCAACCATTTTTTGAGGCCTAATTCACATTTAAGCCTTAAATTGTAGATATTTCCCTATTTTAATATCTTAAATATATAAATATAATATATTAAATATTTAGATATTTACCTATTAAAAATGGTATAATTATCCCTATTTTAGAATATTTAATTTATAACTTCCAAATGAATTTATGATGGCCTTCTGTATATTAAAGCTTCCTGAGTTTTGGTCTTAAATTTCCTGCTATGTTTTAAGTTCCTTGAAAGCAGAGAGAACGTCTTATTCTTTTTTTTTTAATTAAAAAAAATTTTTTTAAAATTTTATTTAATCCTTTGAGTTTACATTTTTTTTTTTTTTTTAAAGATTTTTTATTTATTTAT